GTCAAAATACATTTTTGACTTCAAGTTTTTCACCCTTTATAGACCATTTATGGAAACGCTAAACATGAACATAATCTTTAATTACCATGATTTTAAATGATTGATGAAATGAATTGAATTTAAATGAATGGTTTTAAAAAAAAGATTCGATGCGAATGCATTTCCCTACATGAGCGCCCGCTTTTCTTACTAGAGAGCACCGCTAAAGAGAGAGAACAAACATGGCCAAGCTGAGGCAGAAACCGCAGCATGGGCGCGGTGATCTAAATGGGCATTTGTAGCTGAGTCCAAAGCAATTTTCTCTCCCATTACCGCATTTTATCATTTTATTTTATCAGATATGAGAGTAGCTTAGGAAAGGGGAACTATGTATTACAAAAAAACTCAGAATTCTTGAATTGACCGGACACTGCTCCTAAGTGAAGTTTCATCAGAAGTTACAGAAAAGAAAAAATCTACCTTTTCCTCGGCGTAACTTCGGCCCTGGTACAGGTCCGGTAGCACACATATCACTAAGAAGACAAGAAAATGTCGCCTAAAATACATAACTCTCAAAGAACATAGTGCCTCGAACAAGTGGAAGATGGAGAGGTTAAAAGGGATGTAAAAGAAGCAAATAAAACAAAGAAAGCACACCTTATGTGCACGAAACTGGTCAATCATAGGTTGAAGGCGTGCATCTGTGATAAAATCGCAGGACATTACTACGAAATCACGCTGAAACAAAGAGACACTGTGCAAAAAATAAAGTTTTTGACGTAGATTTCAAAACACTTCTTAATTGGATTAATTGAGCTCACAGTAATCTTTGCTGCATAGTGCCGTAATACATCTGCTGTGCCCCATTCTTCATTCTCACGCGATACTGAGACAATTTCAATAGTTGCAGAAGGAAAGTTGAACAATGGCGTGCTAAGCAAACGTCGCACTTCTTCTTCTGCATCTTCTCGAACAAATATTTTAATGTCTGGAATAAAATTTGATGGAGAAAATCGTAGAAATTTAGTCATAACTGTGGCACGCTTTAAAACAATAAGCAATTTTCAACACCCAGCCTCCCAGATCACAAGTGTAGTGGACGAGTGAAAGATTACTTTAGGCAACGGTGAATACAATTTCTTCCGCAAAAAATGCTGACCCTACATTTTGTGGAACCCGTTAGTTGCAAAAGCATGAATGATGGATCATCCAGCAACTTCAAAGATCTCTGAACTAAAAGGCGTGTACGAGAATATGCTCACCTTTCAGTCCCGAGTTCACTAAGGTATTCAATGGATACCAAAACATAGG